TTTTTTTTTGGTGTGGTTGGTGTGGAACAAATGAAGAAATGTTTTTATTTGTGTTATTTGCTTTTTGTAAACAAACACAACACCCAATAGTAAGCTTATGTCAAACCATTAATGGGCATGTCACGCATTGCAGGAACCACGTTGCTTGGTTTCCCCCCACAGAAATATTTCCACAAAATAAGACTCCTTTTTTTTTTTTTTAATAATCATGGAACCACATGTTTTGGCCTCAGCGGTAATAACATGTCTAGTTTATAGTAGTAGTACGTTTTTTTTCCCCTTCTCGTCTCTCCAACACAATTCGTTCATCCTCCGATGTATAACTTTTTCAAGAATTATATACTATCTTTTTGTTATTTTATCAATAATAATTATTCTAAATTTACTTATTACACCAACCAAGTTGGTCAATAATTCATAATCAATTAATTAATTAATTAAATTAGTTAATCCATATGCAACAAACATTGACCACCTCCCGTGTTTTAATGATTGGATCAATTGAAGTTTTCTGATAGGTACTACCTCCAATCCTTGATATAAAGACTTGTAAGAGATTGAATTTAGTCTTAAATATAATACTTTAATCTACTTTGTCTCGAAATTTATAATGTTTTTTTTTTAAAATATCTTATTGATTGCAAGGAGTTCCTATCAAGGGATAGTTTCAATGCATATGATTGAAGAGGGTGATTTAGAAAAGTCAACAAACATTGATTGTACTTAACTAATTTAACTACTTTTTTTTAATCTGTTCAAATTAGTTATCTAGTTTTTTATGTTAAGAATTGGAAGTAGTGTGTATATATGTGTGTGTTGCTCAAGCTACGGCCAAAGGGTATGTAAGTGTATATATGTCAAGTCGTTTTTATCTCTTGAGAATTTTTTTATTTTTTATTTTGTTTTAGAGATAATTACTAACAAACCATGTTAAACACGGCAGATTGAAAGAAATAAATTAAAATTATTTCTTCTTAATTAGATGCGAAATTCTGGTTCATTGGTTTTAACTTGATCAATTGCACCACGCATGTGCTTCTTGAGGAGTAAGTTTTCTTTTTGTTTTTGTTTTGGTGAAGTCAAGTTATTTGATTCATATCAAAGACAAAATAAGAATGAGAATTCAAATTTGGGATATTCACTCAATATTACACATGAGAGAAAATGTGTGATAAGCATTAAATTTTGATTTCATTATGGTTATATGAATGGATATATGCTTCTCCAAGATACAATTGTTAAACGCTTTATGTTGACAAGATCTTATTTGACTTCCGTGGCTCTAAAAGCTAAAGGTATTTTGAGCTTGGGATTAGATTATGTAAAATTCGAGGCAACTTCACTGATATTTTTAATATAATTTCTATAAAAATTTTAAATGTAAGAACTATAGTGAGTTTTGATCTTAAAGATAATATCTAAATCTATTTTATTTCTCAAATTTAATTATTAATTTTTTAAAATTATATCTTTTGAATGCTCATATTAAGGTGGGGTTCCCATTGATGGGATTGTTTCCAATGTGAATGACTAAATAATACTCTTCCAGTCCTTAATATAGGACCCAATTGTTAAGTTGTTTTTGGTCCTAAATATAAGACTCATTTCTCTTATTTATCAATTTTCTCTAAATTACCCCTATAGATACTCCCTTAACCATAATCAAGTAGAAAAGGAAGAGATGGTATTAAAAAAGATGATTATGGTATTTTAAGAAAAACGTGTCACATCTCTTATAATTAACTAATTTACCTAACTTCCTTAATCTAATCAAATTAGTTAAATGGGTTTTATATTAAGGACTGGAGGAGTATATTTTAGGGATATAATTAACTAACTTAGTTAATTTATACTTAACCCGTCTAAATTAATTCTTTTGGCTTCTACATTTGGAAAAAAAAAAAAAAGATTTGACATCCAACACCATTAGTTCAAATTCAAGTATTATTGAGTTCAATTAAGACTTTCATTGACTTTATTTTAAAAAAATCATAAATCAAGTTCTCTCCGCCCGGTGGAACCACCGTTTTTAAGAGTTGTTTTATTGCCAAAGATTGACACATAGTACACAAGAGTATGGATTAAATTAAAAATATTAATGATCAATATTACTATTTTAGCGTTAATGTTTTCTTTTAATAGTAGGAAAAAATTGTTACGATTTTTATCTTTTGAGATAAATTTATACTAAAAAAATACTTTCGTCTACCCAGCACTCCTGAATAAAAATTTTTTGAAATAAATTTGCATATTAACCCTTCAAAAATATTATAGGAGATGTAAGGATTTTTTTTTTTTTGGGTTATCCTTCACTCGGTAGAAAAAATTCACGCACCCAGTCAAGCACACAATCTCATAATTAAACAAAACTTAAGAAGATGCAAGATGTTAGTCAAGCCAAGTGGCTCTAAATTAAGGATTTTGTTTATGAATAATTTGTTTTGTAAATGCTCTTTTAACTATTGGGATTTACTACCTAATTAAAAAAGGAGAGTTTGGCAACCCTACTAATTAATTTAAAAAAGTGATTTTATACAAGTCGAGATCAAATTTTTGTTTTACTGTAAAATTATTTTTTTAAAAATTAATCCAAATACTCTCTAAGCTAATTTTGTTTTGCTTAAAAAAATCAAAATTAATTTAAGAAATGAAAGGGAAGAAGGAGGCGGAGCTGGCTGTAATTATTTAAACATAAATAAATGTAAGGATGTGAGAAGTTATTACATGGGAAGGACCACCTGGTTAAGGTCAGGTCACATGATTGCCCAAACCCAAAATGGTCAGGTGGACATCAGACTTCATCCCCCGTCAGACATCTACACGTGGCACTGTCACAATTATTTAAAAAAAAAAACCAACTTACGATTCCCCTCTCCCTTTTAAGCATGCTCCCACATTTCTCAAATTTTCCCATTCTCACTTTAATCCTCTGCTTCTCATTACACCAACCCTCCTCCCTCCACCGTCCGATCCCCATCAACCGCCCTCTCCTCACCTCTTTCCTCACTTCACCTCTCTAGCTGGAAGAAAAAGACCCCCCCACACACACACACAGTTTCTCTCAAGTACTCTCTCATACGCATAATTATCACACATCGCTCTCCTTGGTATATATACATGCTCAGGCGTACGTAGCAACCCAAAACCAGAAAACCAGAGATTTTAATTTTGTGGGAGAGAAAGTAGAGAGAGAGAGAGATGGGAAGAGGAAGAGTGGAGTTGAAGAGAATTGAGAACAAGATCAACAGGCAGGTGACCTTTGCGAAGCGAAGGAATGGTCTTTTGAAGAAAGCTTACGAGCTTTCCGTTCTTTGTGATGCGGAGGTTGCTCTCATCATCTTCTCCAATAGAGGAAAGCTGTACGAGTTTTGCAGTAGTTCAAGGTATTCCACTAATTTGCAAAACCTTTATATATATAAATTCCGTTTTGATTTTTTTTAATCTTTTGTGTATTTCTTCAAACACCTTATAGACACAGCACGAAAAGGGAACCTCCTTAACTCTTACCCGTGTTCTCTCCATCTTTCTTCTTTGCTTCATTTCTCGGTTTTGTATAATTTCCTTTCTTTTGTATCTTTCGCTTTTGGTTCTTATGCTTCCTAGATCTTCAACTTCGTTGTTTATTTTTTCCTGCTTTTTTCTGTGTTAGTCCAGGGTTTGGGATTTTTATTTTTATTTTTATTTTTGAAAGATGAGAAAAGTTAATTTTCTTTTATCACTGTTTCTATTTTTTCCGTTTCGGTGAATGTCTCGGCGTTTTTAGCAGGTTGAGTGATTCTGCGATCCCTTTGCTGTTAGATCTGCAACTGGAAACGCCATATAAGATAAAGAAAGAAGATCACTGTTGTATTGACTTTGTGTTTTTTGAGATCTTCTTCTGGTTTCTTCCGAAGCTTTCTCATCGGCTCTCTCTTTAGGTTTTGTTCTTTCTTTTCCCGGCGTCAGAAATTTCCGTTTCTCGTTTAATTCAACAGATCCGGCTACGGCTTTAGTCAGACTTGTTTGTAATGTAATTTATGTGCTAGAAAAAAGAAGCACATAAATTGTCTCATTTTGTTGAATCTTCAGAAGCTGGTACACATTATTCTTTTGGTTAGATGTTAGGAAAATGGCCAAGAATCAGTGAGACAGCCTAACCGTGTCCCATTTAGGGCGAAATACGCCTGCAAGCTTTTCTCTACCTTTCTTTTTGAAACGAGTCTTGTTTCTTGCTTATATCCCCACCTGTCTCTCCCATGCTCAAATCTCTCTGGCCTAGGGTTTCGTTTTATTCCTAAATTTTAGTCTTCGTTTTTCCTTTGAATATCTCCATTTTTTTCTCTTCTTCTCTTTGTCTCGTTTTCAACTCATGCTCTATCAGAGATTCTTCTTACTTTATTGCTTCGCATCGTTCATCTCTGATCCATACCACAAATTTCAAACTTTAGATATAGCCTTTGCTATTTCTCTTGGCAATTGATCGAAATCTGATGATATAGACACATATTTTGACCTTTGCTTTTGTTAAATCAGAATGGTCTTTTCTCATAAAGCCAATACGTCTTGAGCATACAATTACTGACGTGAGAGGATTCTCAGAATTTTGTTTTTCCCGAAGCTACTGGTATTTTGCTAAGTTTTCTCACACACATTCTCTCTCTCTCTCTAAAGAAATTCGGAAGATTTCAGATCTCAGCCTCTCTCAGCAATGCATGTGGCACACGATGAGCCATCTATTGTTCATAGGACATCCGATTTTTTTCTTTCTTGCTTTCTTTCTCTTTTCATTTTTGTGTTATGGTCTCAATACTGGGTTTATGCTATTACTTAATGGATATCACACATAAGCTACACGCGTCTCATTGGTTTTCACAGGTATTCTTTTTCATGATTTTTACCGGTATTAGTTCTGTCATTACCTGTTATAATATCATTTCGTCTTTTCATTAAAAAAAAAAAGATTTTTACCGCTATATTGTTTATCGTTGCTGATTAACTTTGTTCTTGATAACAGAGAATGAGAGAAGACATTCTTGTACCCGCCTATCTAAATTATTTTATTTTAGCGAGACTGCTAGTTTTACATATTTTCCCTAAATTTTCATGGACCGTAGTGGACATTTGCTGCTGTAATTATTGAAGATTCGTTGCTATATATGTGTCTTGTATTTCTCTGCTGTCCAAGACGGCCAAAATGGAGTGAGAAGAAGAAAAATTCTTTCTTAAATATCGATCTTAAAATTTCTTTGAAAGCAGAGCCTTTTTTTTTTATATAAAAAATTCCCGAGATATCGGAAACAACTGTTTTTTTTTCCCCTTTTCATAATTAAGAATTTTAGGTGGGGAGAAGATTTCAGAGTCAAAATATGCGCAACAGAAGGCATACATTCTCTTTGGTAACTGGAGTTTGTTGTACAAGATTTGTATGTTTGTGTTATATCGGGAATATATATAATTTATTACTCTTGATTCGACTAATAATGCTTCAAATTACACTACTGACTAGTTAGATTAACCATTGACTCGGTGCAAAGAGACAAGAAACGAAAAAAAAAAAATTCAATTTAATAATCGTCGACGTGAGCTTAAACTTGAATGCAACTATTAGTATTAACTATTAACTATAACTACAAAAATATAATTATCAAATATGAAAATGATTTAGGCTTTGACCCCATTTTCCCTGATGCTCCATATGTTCCCCCCCCCCCCCCCACTTATTTGTATCTTTGGGTCCTCAAAATGACATCTAATTTCTTACATTTTTGGGATTTTTTTTATTGTACACATTATACGATATACGTAGTGGGAAATGATGTGAACATTATTGTACGTTATCCATGCAGCATGCTCAAAACGCTAGAGAGGTACCAGAAATGCAACTATGGAGCACCTGAGCCTAATGTCTCTGCAAGGGAAGCCTTGGTAATTTTATTATTTTTGGACCTTCATGTCTTGAAAATGATTATTTTTATCATTTTAAAACATCATATTATTTGTGTGTCAAGATCTGTGGTAACAACGACATTCAAGCTTATTAAAATATATAATTAATACAAATATCTATGAATATAACTATTAAAAAACTTCACTCTGTAACTCTGTGATGGTTTCTCTAAAATACTCATAACTATCGTGTATAGAGGTGTGCACTCCCTTCCGATCAGCGAATGGAAGATAATTTTATAGACAGCACTAATACATATACAGGAAGAAAAATGTAGACAAGAAAAAAAAAAAATAGTGATTCCCTAGTTTTCGAGAGTCTAGAGGCTCCCAAGTCATGATTTTTTTTTCCTGCGTTGCTCTCAAGAGCCAGCTTCTCAAACAGAATTTTCCTAACTCTTGTATTCCCTTCTATTTTGTGTTATGAACGCACCCTATAACCAGCAACAATTACAAAACAATTTCTAACCCTCACCCACCGGCGCTAAGATTTCGTCAACTTAAGAGATTATAGGTTTGGTTTCACCCCCTTACAACACTGACTCCTGCTCATTTAAAGTGGATTTGAAGAAGAAGGTTTTCACATGTCTTTCCCGCACTTTCTCAAAACTGCAAGAGGAGAACAAGAAAGGATGAAACGGTAGAACTCTATCTTTATAAAGGGTACGTTGAAGAACACAAAATTATCACTCTTAGTGAATATAGCCTAGCTAGACAATACACACGACTCTTATTCTAATGGACAATCAAGGAACGTTCCAAGACAATAGAGAGAACTATACTCTTGATACTTGTTAGCAATGGTTCAAATTCTCTTTCTTTCTTCATATCTTTTGGACCCGTAGGCAGCTTCTGTACACTATAGGGTTCAGTCATCCAATTAGCCTTGCCAATCTTCAGAGACAACTAGTCTTCCTTTTCTATTTCTGGCAAATTCAACTCAGCGTTCTCTCCTTTTCATGAATTCCCAAAAGTCCGATAATTTAGTCAAGAAATAGTTTTAATTGATTGAATTGAACTTTTGTTGCATTTGAACAAGTTTCCTTCCTAGGCTCATCATTTGAGTCTTGATAAGGATGCCTTCCTTCTGGCCAAAAAAGGGAAAAAAGACATGGATGTTATCCTTGACTATAGCTTATTTAAATTATTTCCATATTAGCTGTTTTAATTTTCCGCATGTGAATCTAATCCCCATTTAGTAGAGCTCGTTATACTCCTTAATATGTAGCTAGCGTTGTTGGTTTTGTTATAATTAAGGATCAATTCAAAGCGAAAGATCTATCAATATATTCAATGAGATAAAATAATTTTAAATTAATCAAATTATACATTCATGGTGTCACATTTATGTTTGCATTATATTTAATATTTTTAGAGAATAGTATTAAGTCATGGCTCCTTAATATGTAGCTAGCGTTGTTGGTTTTGTTATAATTAAGGATCAATTCAAAGCGAAAGATCTATCAATATATTCAATGAGATAAAATTAATTTTAAATTAATCAAATTATACATTCATGGTGTCACATTTATGTTTGTATTATATTTAATATTTTTAGAGAACAGTATTAAGTCATGGCTCCTTAATATGTAGCTAGCGTTGTTGGTTTTGTTATAATTAAGGATCAATTCAAAGCGAAAGATCTATCAATATATTCAATGAGATAAAATGAATTTTAAATTAATCAAATTATACATTCATGGCGTCACATTTATGTTTGTATTATATTTAATATTTTTAGAGAATAGTATTAAGTCATGGCCTTCTTTCAACGCAAAGCTAATTAGTATAGATGGATGGCAAACCTACTTTAGCTTGGCCGTATATCATCACTTCATGTTGGGTTGTATCTATCGTGTTTAATGGTTCAGCGCAAGGGTGAATTCAAAATTTGGAATTCGACTGTCCTATGGAACACTTTAGATATCCATTTCCAAATTTATTAGCAGCCTTTTTTCCCTCCCTCCATGTTGCTTCCTTTTACTTTCTAAACGTGCCATGTCAAACTCTCAAGTTGTTGGCATATCAATGTGTTCCGTTATGACAAAACCCCCATTTCCAGCCTTGCTTAATAATGCTTTGGATAGTAATTGCTTACACGCATTGCCTTCCCCAATTTTGTTGTTTTGGGAAATTTGGTAAACATATCCATCATAGCAATTAGGATCAAGCTTGAGGTTCCCCCGTACGTAAACTTAAGCAATACGAGAGGGGATAATGTAAACTAAGTTTCTCCGACTTTTGTTCAAGGGAGGATTTCAAGGAAATTTTATATTGTCTCGTTAATGATTTTAGGATGAATTTGGCCTCTGATCCATGATCCATGCATGAATTCGCTGATAGATAGGAACATTATACTGTGTAACTTAATTGTCGAAGTATAGAAACTTTATCCCCTTACCCAACTAAAGAGAAAATCTTAGCTTTCAATCTCTTTAATCCTCATTAATATTTCGAACATTGATGTATATTACTTGCCGTCCTTCCTACTCCCCCATGGTCACGTGTCCATATAAATATTTTGTTTGTTAACATTGTTTGCTTAAGATTTTACTCGTGAAAAGCTTAGGTTTTCACACCAGCCATACCCATTGTGAGCTCATTAAAACAAAAAATGTTTCTCTCACGAAAGTCTTCATGAATCATGTTAACCATTATGAGGACCTCGTTTTCCTCGCGCAAGATATCTGAATATAATTACACGTCAATGCATGCCATTGAGTGATTAAAGGCAAATAATATTACTCCATTGAAAAAAAAAAATCGATTGATCAATTATAAAAGTAGAGGAGAATTTACCATAAATATGGGCATGGTCTATACTTCCTTGCATGCAATTAATTATTGTAGTACTGGAGGTGTAGGAGTTAAGCAGCCAGCAGGAGTACTTGAAGCTGAAGGCACGTTATGAAGCCCTGCAACGATCCCAAAGGTATTGATAATCAGTCCTAACTCTTTGTCATGCTCTGGTATAATCAATCCTAACTCCGTTTACCGTACAACAGGAATCTTATGGGAGAAGATCTTGGACCTCTAAGCAGCAAAGAACTCGAGTCACTTGAAAGGCAGCTTGATTCGTCCTTGAAGCAAATCAGATCAACTAGGGTACGCTTTACACACAAAGCATTTTGATCTCCACATTGAATATGATATATCAAGGAGAGCTGTGAGAATGATAAGAAGTAGTCTTGTTTCTCCTTCTTCTTTCTTTGCTCAGGATCAATGTAGCATTTAGTGATTCTTAAACTCGTCAGTATCAGCAATTAGTTGTCTTCATCTATCTATTTACATGTTTTTGTTCTCAAAGTTCATTTGTTTACAGACACAATTTATGCTGGATCAGCTCTCTGATCTTCAACGTAAGGTATGATGCTTTCGGACGTCAATGATTGCTGTATATATGCATTGTCTTCTGCCAATTTTGTCTTGTTCACTGATCAAATTCATTTATGCAGGAACACATGCTCGGTGAGGCAAACAGGTCACTTAGGCAAAGGGTAAAAACTAAGAACCATTTCAAGCTTCTAAATTTCACAACTCACCTACAGATACTGGGCTTCATCTACTGTCTTCCCATATGATTTTTTCTATTGATCATTCTTTTACATTTGTTTTTTAATTATTTGGATTGTCCACATCCCCCCGCCCTCCAAAAGGGGGGGAAAAAGCCTCATAAATATGATGAATTTGGTTTGTGTTGTGCAGCTGGAGGGATACCAACTAAACCCACTCCAATTGAATCCTACTGCTGAAGAAATGGGATATGGGCGGCAACCACCTCAGCCTCAGGACGATGGCTTCTTTCATCCCTTGGAGTGTGAGCCAACCTTGCAAATTGGGTATATGATCCCTACATTAAATGCTTTTACTATAAATTAAAATTGTTTAATTACTCCAAAAAAAAAATCCCATTCATAAATCACCTTCAACACTTTACACAATAATCAAGAAAAGCCCTAAAATTCATTATCTTTGTCTAAACAATAAACAAGTTTCTTACTTTGCCCATATTAAGTTTTCTACTTTCCTACATCAACAAGTGCTTTGGCGCAATGTTTAGTTAGATTGCTTAAAAATAAACATGACCAGTCCTACATTAAATTGAATTTATTACTATGGTCTACAACTCTCCCTCAAAACATGAATTAATCATAATATAGTTTTAAAATTATGCACGTGTTCTTAAAACTGAATGCAGTTCCTGATGAATAGACATATGCTGATCTGACTTAATTGTTATCCTCACTAACATTATTCAAGGGCAAAACAAAAGTCAATCAATACCAGCAGCTGATAGACTTGTTGGGATATTGATTATGTTTGTGGGAGCCAGAATTAATATTAGAAGGGACTCTCTAACCGTGCTATCCTTTTAGAGAAGGATAGATATAGTGATCAGAGACCCACTTGTCAAATAAAGATATCCTATGAGCAAGAAAACAAAATAAATAAATAAAATATCCACTGACTTTATATTATCAGGGTCTGCTGTATGATTAGGGAGGATCTAAATTAGCCATAATGTAGCAGTACAATCGAAACTAGATCAAGCCATATTCATAGAAATATTGAATATATGTTTGAGCGGTATTATTATTATTATTATTAACAATGGGAAATGTTGAGGGGGATGCAGATATCAGGCAGATCCGGTATTAGTGGTGACAGCAGGGCCAAGCGTGAATAACTACATGCCGGCAGGATGGTTACCATGAGATTATATGACCAACCAAAACGTGGTGATCATTTCAATTTTATTTGAAATAGGTAACCCAGAAAGGAAAAAAAACAAGAATGAGAAAAAGTTACATGGCATGCCATATTGAAGGACTTATAAAAGCAAGTATTATTAATTCCCTATTTATTAGGAACATTAATGTAAGTATTGGTCTGTTGTGTGTGCCCTAGCTGGCTTCCATAACTGCGCTAGCTTCCCGTTTCCTTCCCTTCCTTGTATTAATAAGTGTTAGTGTCTGCACCAACTTAATATATATAATCCCTTTTGACTCTTTCTTCAGAACATATATACCATTTGTATTATTATTATTATTGTAACTACTTCAGACGTTTATTTTCCCATGAAAACCAAGACTTTATTTAATTTACATCATTTGCCTTTGTTTTTTTTTTTTTGGTGTGTTTTGGGGGGGGGGGGGGTTTGGAGCTTATAAAGGTGCGCATACAAGTCTGACGATCAAAGGGTTAGTGCGTGACTGATGCAATGCACGTCTGTGAATATAGGCCAAATAATCAATGGAAAGTCAATATTTTAGTTGGTGAACAACTTTTGATTATTTTCTTCATCACTTTAAGATGACTTGTTGGTTCAGACGTAGTGCTTTGCTCTGTTATGGGAAAGGAATTAAGAGATTGATTTGTTATCATTGTTCTTTGGGTGTGCAGTTAACGTGGTTTGATTCATGGTTCATAAATAAATGTTGCAGTAATTTCTGTTTTTGTGATATTGATGAATCTCAAAAAGGGAATTAGTTAATACTCATCCGGTCCCAAATACAAGACCTATTTTGTAGTGCAAATTGCACTACAAAATGGGTCTTATATTTTAGGACCAGAGGAGTACTAATTTTGATTTTTAATATAAGACCTAATTGATTAATTTGAAAAAATTAACAAAGTTACTAAATTAGTTTAAAGTATTTATATTTATTGTTTCTCTCTTTACTAATTTGCTTCACTTATAAATTAATATATAATCTAATAATACACATAAGTATTTTTAATAGATCATGTAAAATACGTTACAACTAAATATAGTTTAATAATTTTGTTAATTAATCTCTTAAATGAATCAACTAGATTTTATATAAAAAACCAGAAGAATAAGTTGAAAATGAAATGGTCCCACGAGCAAGTCCACATTTTACCGTTATACAAAAAGCAAAACAAGTAGCCAGGAAAGGCGGATGAAGGGATCGGTTAGTAGTGACGTGTTTGGTGATTCATAATGTTTCTGCCATTGTGTTGTGTGTTTCTTTGGGATCCGATTCAGCACTCACCCCTTCTGAACTGTTAGACTCTGAACGGTCGAAAGCGGATCAGCGGTTAATGCTCGTCCATTTTGCGAGGCATCCAAACCGGATCTGTTTTGTTGGCCTCAACAACAAAAGATAACAATACCTTTTATTGCTCCCTTCCAGTACGTGGCCTTTCCCACACGTTGGTGTTTCTTCTTCTTTTTTGTCAATTAAGTAAGATAGATCTACGACCTCAAAATATTTTTCTGAATGTATCTACCATACTAAAGTATTTTTTGATACATCCAGTACCATTAAATATTTCTTTTGATGCGTTTAAAACCCAAAAATATTTTTGATACATTTAGGTCCAAGACAAAAAAAAAATTCAGGGTGTTAGACGTCTTTAGAAAATATTTCAGACAACTAAATGCACCGCAACTTCGAATGCTAAATATATTTGAAAAAAATATTTCAAAATATTAGATGCATATTAATCCATTAACTAATTAAAATAATTGAATGGTTGTTACAACACACAACAACTCCATATTTATTTCCACCACCTAACAACATTATTTCACCTATTTTTAATATCTAATCAATCCACATCAGTATGCTATAATATATATATATATATATATATATCTATAGAGCAAAGTAGGAAGTCATCATAAGTTATATAAACAATATAATTTAACCCACTCTAATCTTGATCCAAGGGAGGTGTAGGATGGCAGCAGGCACAGCTGGTACAGTGTCGGGCCAAAGGAATAAATTCTATATTTCTGTGTGAGCATTTTAATAATTTACTTCTCACACTCCTCACCCATTAAAAATTGAAAAAAAAATTAGAAAAAAGTCATTCATTGAAAAATTACTTAAGAAATGATCCTCGAAATGGTATTATTTATATTTTTTATTCATAGAAAAAGAATCAATACTCCGAGTTTCAAGTATCATTTAACAATTATTTTTTCAATTAGAAATTTTTTTTTCTAATTTCTTAAAAAATTTACTTGGCCCTCATAATAAAATCACATTCACTCTTATTTAGATTTTTAAATTCTTTTAAAACCATAAATTTTCACTCACATATTAATCATAAAAATAAATATTATAAATTTACAAGTTATGACAAATATATGTTTTAGGCTTCACAAATAAAACTGGATTTCAGAATATTAAAATTAATAGTACTTCAAAGATGTGTTTCTAGATATAATATTTTATTTTATTTCATATCTTGTTATTTTTATGATTGTCACACAGATAAAATCTTCAATTATTTTTTTTCTTGATAAAGGTATCTTCTTATTAGCGTTTTCAATTGCAAATGTGAGTGTGAATAAGAGTATCCCGCATAAACTGTTTTTTGGAAGCTAAAGACCCAAAATAACATGACAGCCCAACAAGTACCGACCCCCCTCCGAGCATCATGCACCCACCCAAAAATGGCCATCCAATAATCTTTGGATTTGAATAATCATAAAAAAGCCATCCATTATGAGCAAAGCATTTGATCAAAAAAAATTATTACCAAAGCATTCAAGTGCAGCCTAATATCTTCACTAAATTCAAGTGCAGCCTAATATCTTCACTAATAGCCACGGCAATACCCATTTCAAGACCGCCGTAAAATTTACACGTAATATTTTGAAGCTTGGGATGTACTTTTCTAATCCTATTTATAAGAGAAAGAGAGAATGAATCTTTTTGGGATTCATATAAGGTAGATAGAGAAATTTTTTATATGAATATATAATTTTATTTTTTAATTTATTATTATGTTAAAGTTATTCTTATTACGCATAATATATATTTTATAGGGGTGCTTGGGAACTTTGTAATTACTTAAAAAAAATTTTATTAAATTTGAAAAAAAAAACTTTTCTCATATATTTACTTAAAATTCTATAATATGTTTAAAAAGCTATTCAAAACACCCCTGTTTGGGTAACAAACAAAACCATGGTTTGGGGATCCAACCATCTAAACATACCAATTTTTTGCAAAACCATGTTTTTATTGAAAACCATGATTTGAAGGGGAAAAAAAAGAAGTAGCCACACACTATAATTTTGTGCAAAATCACTTTTCAAGTTGAAAACTATAAAACCATGGTTTTTTATAAAGTGAATATTTTTTGCTTTTGAAGGTATGAAAACATGGTTTAGGATATAAAAAATGGATTAATGTTTTAAAAAAATAGATTGAGGTATTATATTCAGAATAAATTGAATATGCAATTATTGGACCTTATATTAACAACTAAAAGTAATATTAATTAATTATATTTTTTCTGTACAATTTATTATTTACAAATTTATTATTAAAAAAATATAAATCAAATTCTATTTTTTATATATTTATTATATTAGCTTATATCTTTTCAGTAATTTGTACATAGAAAAAAAATTTGATAACAATTATCTAAAAATTCGTACTTTATCAAAATCACCTTTTTTTTTTTAATAAAATCTATTCTTCTAAAAATCTATTCTCAAAATTTATTTTTTTAAAATCTCTTTTTCAAGAACTATTCTCCAAACGATTTCTCCACCACATACCAAACAAAATGCTATATATAACCATCATTTCATTACGTTATTTTAATTTTCTACCATTATCTTTCATATGATTCCTTTAACCGAGCGAGCACTTATATTTCATGCAATGCATGAAAAATGTACTTAATTTTAAGTTTAATGTGAAATATTCCAACTTCCCTTATAGTTTAACTTAATCATAAGGATCTCTCCTTTATCTTCAAAACATAAAGTTCAGTTCAAATGGTCAACTCAGTTAAGAACATTTCAAGAAGCTTTTTTAATTAAAATTTGTATTTAAAAAAATCTTATTTACTATTTCACCCTTCATCATTCTAAATCCCTAATTTTGACTAAAATTATTTTAAAGAATATTTCAAAATTTGCTTTTCTTTTCCCTAATTTTATTTTTTATTTTTAAAAATAGTTATTTGTGTAATGGTTTTTGAGAACAGAAACTTAAACAACTTAAATTAATGCAGTCCCAAAACCATGGTTTTCTATGTTATCCAAACAGACCCTATATATATATACTAGCTGAAAAAAAAAAAGACTATATATATAAATATATATATATATATATATATTTAGAGAGAGAGAAGAATCTCATAATGGAAATATGAAAGTGCATCTTGATCTAACAAAACATGGCGTTTTGCCACATTATTACTGCACTGAATAAAGGAATCCTGTTTTGAAATTCGAACCAAAGAACATGCTGCTTTAAGATAAATAACATATTAGAATTTAACATAAAAAATTTTCTAATAAAACTAGGCTGAAATAGAAAGACTATATTGGATCAAAATCTATTTCAATGAATTTTTCTTATTTGCATAAAGACAGTCTATAAACTGCATGAAGAGATTGTTCAAGTTCAAAGTTTATGGTATGTTATCGTTGATTAAAAAATATTTATTTATTTATTATAAATTTATGTCCATTTATAATATAAAATAAATAAAAAATTACACTATTTGTAGGTGTTTGGTGTAATAAAAAAGCACTAATAATAGTACATGCTCGATTTTATATTAAAAATTAGTGTTAATAATAACATTAGTTATTTGACCATCCTAACCGACAAATTATTACCAACAAATAATTTAGGCAAAAGTGGGGGAAACAAACAACCCCGAAATCCCAGGAAATCCGACTCAGAAGCACCCCGGGCAGAAACACTACTAGAGTTCAGAACCCCACATGTAGCTCGAATTACTTATTTACTTGTGCCACCCACCAGTGATCATATAAATATATATATATACATATATTTTTGCCAATGATATGATAATTTTGTAAAAAATATATTATTTAAATAGGATCTCAATGATTCATCTGTGGAGTGAAAGTGTAGTGAAAGGATATCAAGTGTTGAGTGAAAGTGTAGTGAAAAGATATCAAGTCTATATCCAAGAGAATTAAATAATTTAAATTAATTAATTTATTCGGACGAAGCCGCCTTACGTGTCTTCCCAAT